CACGTCTGTTCGAGTGAAAGACGGTGAAATGGTAACACGGTAAACTGAAAACAAAAAACACCAACAACCTCGAAAATTGCGACTCATAAACTCAAAACTAAACTTCGCACACGTTAAAATCGTACGCGTGACTTGCTTACGAAGTTTCAAAGCGCGCGCGCTAATCACGCGTCACGCAAGTTCGGTAAGTGTCTTTTTTTCGCAGGGATGCATTAAGTTTCCCAAGACTGACATGATGTTTGACAGGTTGAATAAATATACCCTGCAGTAAATTTTGGGGCTGGTTTGCGCTTCATTTTAAAGAAAAAAGCCAAGCTAATTTACTCTTTTTTTGTTGCATGTCACGTCTTTCAGGTCATCCGCTGAACATCACGCAAGCTGATATTCCCATCAATGGCTGGGCTGTTGAGTGCCGAGTGTACGCTGAGGTGAGGTATTTGGAAAATTCCTTGCTATCTGGGGTGGAAATCACTATTTGCAACCTCGTTCCCTGGGCCTTTCCCCTTGGTTGGGGGTGGTTTCCTGCCCCACCCCCAGCTAAGGTAAAAGGCCCTGGGAACGAGGTTGCACTATTTAATGCTTTTCAAAACTCTCATTGGGTATTACCTTGATCACGCACCAATATGGCAATTAGAAAAATGATCATTGATCACAAGCTTGACTGTGACGTTTTCTTGTTTAGGATCCATACAAGAATTTCGGTCTTCCGTCCATTGGAAGGTTATACAAGTATATTGAACCAACACATCTGCCAAATGTAAGTAATTTAACTCGAACATCACAAATCTTTATTTATTTATTTATTTATTTATTTATTTGCATTATTTGGACAGGCTGGCCCAGATCAGCTTTAAAGCTGGTTTTAATGGAGGCCTGTATAAACAATGACAGGACACCGGGCCTTTTGCGAGAAATGCGTGTGTTCTTTAACGTCCCTTGCTAACCAGTACAGAAAACATGCAAGAGACGAGCCAACGGTTTATCGTCCTTATCCGCGAACTAGAATGCCTAACCATTTTCGGATGTCATAACAAAGGCAGCACACTCTCCTCGCTTGTTTTAAGACCCTGAGTGCTCTTACTTAAATTGACTTGGCTAACAATGTTCCTCTCTGCCTTGGTAGGTTCGCTGTGACAGTGGTATCATTGAAGGAAGCGAGATAAGCATTTACTACGACTCCATGATATCAAAGGTAAACATTCACTGATTGATTCAAGGGTAATCTGGGATCAACGAGTATCTGAGCAACTGCGCAGTGCGCACCCACCCCTCCCTTAAGCCAACAACAGTCAATTGATAACAATTTAGGGTTAATGTTATGTTGAGGGAGGGGTGGGTGGGTAGTTGCTCAGATTTGACATTTATCCGTAATTTGTGGCTTCTCTACGTCCTTATTTCTGTGAAATAATTTCCTTTCCTTACGGGCAGTTTTTGTGTGATTTCTTTACGTAAAAGTTATGTCACTTATCAACATTTTAGCTGGTTACCCATTCGCCGACAAGAAATGAAGCTCTTGATCTGATGAACAAGGCTTTGGATTCTTATGTTATCAGAGGTAATAGTTAACTCTAACACCTAATTTCTCTATACAACATCACCCATGAATCACATATTAGGGTCGCGAGAATAAAGGAAATGATCACCAACTAGAAAAAGCTCTTGATTGTCAAACAGACTCTCCTTGTCAGCGCCTTACAAAATGTATAGAGAACAGTATGGCGAATATGCAAACTGTTGTTAGGGTGTATAACGGTCAAAAGGTAGGGTTTTACGCACAACTAGAACCACCTTGCACAGCAAAATAAACAGAACCACATCAAACGTTTGGCTCATCTACAGACGTACAAGTCAGAACCACCACAGGCAGCCCAAGGTCACTGTGTGTGATTTTGGGGTCTAAAGGTCTTTAACGGGAGTACCTTACAAATTAAGATCGAATTTTAAGCGTAAGCGCGGGCCGTTAAAAAAGGAAAAATTGTTTTAAAAAATAAAGAAAAATTTAAAAGGATGATAAAAGGGGGAATATGACTTGTGAAGTCTTCTTACCTTTTTTTCCATAGCCGCTTTGTTGCCAACGGTCGTTCGCCCCAGTTGACTGGTAGCACTACATGCGTTGCAAAAGAAGTCGCCAAAACATCGGCCCTGTTTTTTCAACCGCCCGCGCTTATGCTTAAAATTCGATCTTTATTTGCTCGGTACTACCGCAAATGACCTTTAAACNATGGTTACCCATATTGCCCGAGCCAGAGGCTCATGTATGAAACGCAAGACAACAACCCACCCATCCCACCCCAGGGGAGGACATCCATCACACAGTCACCTCGTGCGTGGGAAATTAACGTCTCCTACCCCTAACCCTGCAGGAGACGGGACCTCCATTTATTCGTCCCTATCCGAGAAGACTAGAATATCTAAACCATTTCTCGATGTTATAGAAAGGCAGCATATTCTTCTCAATTATCTTAAGACCTTGAATGTTGGTCCGGCCGGGACTCGAACCCTCGACCTCCCGTACATCAGTCCAGCGCTCTATCCATTGAGCACGAGGGTTTTTATCCGCAGGCTTAATCGCGAGAACCTTATGTTAACTAAAGAAAAATGTAATTCGTTTCTCACGAGCTTGCGAAAAAATTATTCCCAAGAAGAATCGAACCCAAGCGCGCAATCGAAAGATCTGCGACTCAGTCTCTGAAGGAGAAACAGATGTTTTTTTAATCCTGTGTTCTTTACAAAAGGAATACCATTTCTTTTTTATTTCATAACCGAGCTCAAAATTTGCCTTATTTTTTTTTCCTCTGGTATTTTCTAGGTGTCACATACAATGTTTCACTTCTCCGTGATGTTCTGAACCATCCCAAATTTCGCCTCGGAACCATCACCACGAAGTTTCTTCCTGAGGAGTACCCAAGTGGATTTAAAGGTGAAGTGCGTAGTAAAACGAACTGAGAAACAATAGATATTGGCGTCAGGGCCATCGCGCCATAATTTTGCTTAATACATTTTACTCACACAGTGCCTTTCTACAATAAAATATTAATAGATTATGGCTTTCAGAAAATTATAGGGGAAGCTTAACGAATTACAAACCGGGGGGAAGGGCGAGGGGAACATAACTTGCGACGGACTTGCATCCTCTAGTTCAAGGGAGGTAGGGAGGTAGCACAAACGTGGCTGTTTGGAGAAGTTGGCCACAAATCGTTGCTTAACTTGTTCATTCTGGTTTTTTCATTCAATAACAGGTCATCAGTTAACTGAGGAAGAAAGATATGAACTGCTGGCCACGACAGCTTATTTCTTCGTGCAGAGAGCAAGAAAAGCTATGGCCTTCAAGAACCAAAGCAAGTGGGTGAAAGAAAAAAGGATGGGGCCGGAACCAACTTCATTCCCACCCTACTCTCAACTAAGAGAAAAGGGCTTGAGAACGAGGTCGGGTCGGAAATAGAGACAACGCGCGACTTCCGCGCTTGCACGCGCGTTCAGAGACTTGTCACATGAGCATTCGTACGCGTTCGATGTTCGTGCGCGCGACTTTTCAGTTTTTGTCGAGTTGCATTTTTAAGAGTCTTCATTTGGAGTTCTAGTGTAAACCGGGTGTGCGTTTGGTGGTGTTTTTTTCTTTTTTTGTGCGTGTTTAAGTGCGCTTGTTTCCGAAGAGTTTTCTATAACCGTTTTCGAACATTCGCTGCAAACTAACTCCTCAAACTTTTTCCCAGTCCTCGTAGCGAACCAAACGGGCACAGCTCAGAGTGATGCCTACTCAAAAATTGCTGTTAATGACCATCATTTAACTTAACTTCTAGGCTCAATGCAGTGAGCAAACAACCATCAACCTGGGACCTGGTAATCACTCTGCAAAAAGCCGATTATCCAGTTGTGATACAGGCCAAGAAAGATGGCATTTTTGAGGTCAGCCTGAGAGCATTTCTTTCCAAAACTTTGTATAGGTCATTACAATACCCACAATTTTGGTCACCTGGTCGAAGAACATGGCTCTTCGTGCATTTTACCCCTTCCTTCCCCCTTGTGCAAGTATTACTTTCAAAACACTTATTATATATATATATATATAAATTTTTATTTTTTTTTGAGAGATTACACTTTTCTCCGACGACGAAAGAGAGCAATTAGGTGTAAATTGTTCGGTCACAATTCGATATTATTACACATTTAATACTAGGTTCTGCAGCATAGGACGCTAAAAAGGACAAAAATCTGTTTCGAAGTTAGAATGACGTGAATGAAAGAGACTTTTGATTCAAACAAAAAGTTAAACTAGATGAAATTACAGTAAGGGTTTAGTTTTGCATAGTATTAGAATGGTAAGCATCTTTTACGAGGTGAGAACAGGTTGCATCGTAAAATGACCAACCTTAAGGAAGAGGGACTTGTTTATTCGGTGGAGTCAAACATTCGTAAAGCAGGATGCTCAACAATAGTTGTTGTGAATTTTACGAGTGGCCGGCCAAGACAGATCTTCTCCTTACAATAGCGATACAATATCAAACAGACAAGTGACAGGGTATGTTCTCACGGAAGTGTTTTTCAGAACGGCCCTGTCTTTTTAACTCACCCATCCCACCCAGGGGAGGACATCCACCACACAGTAATCTCGTGCGTGGGAAATTAACGTCTCCTACCCCTAACCCTGCAGGAGACGGGACCTACGGTTTATTCGTCCTTATCCGAGAAGACTAGAATATCTATCCATGTCTTGATATTATAGAAAGTTAGCGCATTCTCCTCAGTTGTTTTAAGACGCTAAGGGTTGGTCCGGCCGGGGCTTGAACCCTCGACCTCCCACACAACAGTCCGGCGCTCTACCAATTCAGCTAACTAGGAGGCGGTTCAATTAGGGGATTAGGGTTCAATTAGGGACGAAGGGCTAACGCTCGAAACGTCAGCTTTTGTAATCGTTACAGTGGCCAATTTACCATTTCAACTTTGTTGATATATCCAAATTGTTGCATCATAAGAGTTGTATAGCAGACACTAAGGAGAATTACTAAATGAGATCTTGGAAATGAAAGGACTAATGGATAGAGGGTAGCGAAGATAAAATATAATTTAACTCGCCCTTCCTGTCGTAATAAAGCTCCTTCTGGCTGCGTTGTAGGTCAGCATGGATGGAAAACAAGTAGATTTCAACACCTCTTCTGGGCTGTCAGATCCAGTATTCGGTGCCAAGATAAATGGAAAAGACGTTTTATTACAGGTAATGAGAGAATTAACTTCGTGCTATCAGTTGTCCAATAACTTACCGACAGTGAGTGATTTTTCCTTGTTCTCTTCTACAGACGTTGAAGAAAGAGGGAAATCTTTTCGCAATCCAGCACTATGGGACAACAGTAAGTGCTTTAAACAGTCTAATATAAGTTGGGAAAGAAGATTATCATTATCTTCTTTAGAAAAATTCTTGAGACTATTGCAGTAGATATAAAGAAGTTCTCGCACACCGTTCTATGACACATTTTCTGTTTTTGCAGTACAAGCTGCGAGTGCACACGAAGGATCAGTACGAGTACATGAAGTACATGCCAGAGAAACAAGAGGTATGGGGTATCAAAATGAAGGGAATTGGGCCTAGAGACCGAACAATCATTTACTTGAAAACACAGTTTGATCGTTGGTACTTTGTGATGAGGTATTTTGATGACTAAGGAAGCGCTAACCCTGGAGAATGTAAAAATCATGATTAGATTTCTGTTTACTCGATTTAACTTGACTTTTTGCCTATTCAGATGTTTGAATGACTTTTCATTCGACTTTTGTTCGATTTGCCGTTATCCATTTGACTTAATTTAACCAAACTTTCCTTGAACTGACTTCTTCGACTCTCATTTCCTCTCGTTAGTTGATTTGCTCGATGTTTACCCTTGTTAATTTGACCTGGCTTTTGATCTGGTCTAAGTAAATTCAATCTATTACTGTTAATTACAATATTCATGGAAGATAGGAAAATCATTTCATTTTCCCCCTTATCCAGGAGGACATGTCCCCATTCCTCAAGTCGCCCATGCCTGGCACCGTGGTATCAATGGCTGTTAATGTCGGTGACACGGTACGACACGCAATGGGACTTCACATATAGTGAAATGTTTAGATTCCTCGTCATGTAATCTCTTTGTTCCGTTAGCCTATAGGACGTAAAAACCGTCTACTTTCTGCGTTACAAGTTACAAGAACGTTCCTTCCCCGTCTTTCGTGTTGCGGACCAAGAAACTGTTTGCGTGACAAGCACGCAAAAGTGACATCTGCGTGCATGCGCAGGTGACCTCTACGTGCACGCGTTTGTATGCATGGGTAATTTCGGCAGGCACGTGCAACTAACATCGGTTTCATTAACTTCTGCGGTTGCGCGCAGCTGCCACGTGGACATGCACGCGCAAATGACAGAGACACGTTCGTCCTAACGAAGAGCGGATCTCAAGTGGCTGTCAAGTATTTATGTGAAACAGGACCCAAATGATGCAAGTCACATCGGCTTTAACATGTTCTTAATTTCAAACATATTTTAGTGTACCCGTAAATGCATCTTGAATTTGCGGTCACTAGAGGCTGACCATGTAGAAGATGACATCAAATGAACTTCAACTATTACAAGTCATTCTCTGTGTTCGTAATTTTTTATTAGGTCCATGAAGGACAGGAGCTTGCAGTGGTGGAGGCAATGAAGATGCAGAACAGTTTGCATGCAGGGCTTTCTGGAACTGTGAGTGAGCGATAAAATGAAATGGAGATAGTCTTTTATCTTTTTCGTCATCTTTTATTTTGACCTCGGTTCCAGGGCCCATCCCCTCCAAACTTGGAGGGTGGGAAGGAGAGAGAGCGTGGGGGCGAATTAATTCTGGAGTGAAGAGATTTCTTCCATTTTTTCCAACAGTGGTCCTGCACACGGCTAAAGAAAAGAAGTGAAACTATGGAGCTATAAAAATTTCGAGCTTATTTTATTTTGTTTCTAGGTAAAAAAGGTGAATTTTAAAGCCGGAGACAAAGTTGGTGAAGGAGATATTATGGTAGAAATTGAACATCACCCCGACCACTGAGACTGCAATTCTTTTTTAGGACGAAGAGGCTATCACAATTTTTGGGTCACGTGACTTTTTGAATTCGTGTTAGTGACTTCTGTGCACAATGGAAACTGGAAATGCCAGTGACAATATGAACTGACTTCTTTGTACCCATGCAAATGACTCCTCTATGAAGCTGCAATAGCTGACCTGCTAATGAAGTGGGATGCTCGTGTATGCCTATTTTTATGAACCTGCAAGTGACCTGGTAATCACAGGCGTGTGGGTAATTAAAGGCGTCCGCGCGCGATTGATTTACGTATGAACTCGAAGGTGACTTCTATGTGCATGCACAGTTGACTTCCGCGTAGACGTACAGGTCACACCTGCTTGTGTGCGCATGCGTAAGGGACTTCAGGGAGCATGCTGAAGGTTTACTTCCACCTGAACCTGGAAAGTGCCAAGTGACCTTTGCATGCACGCGTAATTAACTATTTTGTGTGGTGGCACAAGTGACTTCTTCGAGTGTGCGCGCAGGTGACGTCTGCGTGCACGCATGTGTAACTTCTACAAGCACGCCTAAATGACTTAGGCGTGTGACTTCAATGGTTGCACGCAGATGACACCTGCATACGCACGCGCTGATGACTTTTGCCTCCACAAGGTGACATATCGTACGTGAAAAATTTCGTCAACTATTTGGTAAAGGTTGACATTATATTAAGTCATAATCTCAGTGAAACGTTATGTTAGTACATAGTTGAATATGCATTGCTTGAAAACCGAAAATATTATTTTTTCTCCAAAACTTTGTTAGAACTTCTTGAAAATATTATAGCGATGTTGTAAAATAGTTTGGAACCTCTATTCGAAGAGTGAAACCAATTCTCCAATCAAAAAATACCATGAACACTCAAGTATTCGGTGGATAGGATTAAAACCAAGACAAAGTTCTCAAATGTCATTATATTTAGTGCTCAACCCGATTTGAGCACTAAATATGCCCAAATGGACGTTTTGGTGTGTAGCATTGCTGAGTATTTTTACGAGCTGTGTTGTATTTTGACAAGCCCGCAGGGTGAGTCAAAATACAAACGAAAAAATACTCAGCAATGCTACATAACAAAACGACTTGTAAGGCGGGAATAGTGATGCAAATAGCGAAGCGTAGCGCGCGCAGCCAACTGGTTAAACAGGTTTTTATTTCCTTTTTACAGCCGGTACAAAATAACCAACTGTTCAAATATTATAGGAAAATTCATTACTGGACAAGGGAATTCCGCATAAACTTGCACGCGAAAAGCTTCTCCAGGATCGTGAAGCGATGAGTGCGATTTCGGTTTTCAAGTGCAGTTTTAACGTGGAATTCAAGAGTCAAGTAATGGATTTTCCTTGAATCGCATAATTGAATAAAAATAAGAAGAAAAAAAAAAACAGCATTACTTATAGTTGTTATGTAATCGTAGATGCGAAGCAATATCATTTAGCCTCGTTTTCAACTCACAATTCCACGCTTAATACCTCGCTTCGATAACCAATCAAAAACGAGATTTTATTCAATGATGGGATTCTCACAGACGGCCCAAGCGTACTGTGTGTGACTTTGGGTGTAAAATTCATTAACGGCAATAAGTAACATATTAAGATCGAATTTCAAGCGTACGTGAGGGCCGTTAAAAAAAGGAAAAATTATTT